CCGCATGTGACTCGCTTCGAGTTCTTAGTACATCCACTTAATTTAAGTGGGCGGATTAAGTTAAAACTTTGTGGTTTAATTAAACATTTTAAGGTAGTGTTTCATATTCAAGCGAGTATAAATTTCATCGCAGTATTAATGCAAAGCAGGTGGCCATGTTTCTGTTGATAAGACAACTGACAGATAATTGAAATGCTAACGATAGTGCTGGTGTCCTAAAATATACACAAGTTTGATCGAAGCAACTTCATTGGTAATCCTTCAAAAACAACACAAATAGCTGTGGGGAAAAATGTTTTTTTTGTTTTGTTTTTTTTTTAATGCATATCCTAAAGTTTCGAAAGCAACCGAAGCCTCTTCTTGACGCTACTCTCAGAGTTGGGAAGCAACTTTCGGGAAATCGCTACTCTCGGCTATTTAAAACTTAAACCTTATTGAAAAAGTTTTCACTGATACATCACAACAGAATAATAAATTGCCTTTGGAAGAGTATAATCTTCTCATGTAAATAGATCAGAGTAGTACGGTTCGTTGCTCTATCTATTATTTCCTGAATTTGTTTCTGAAAAGCAAGTCAAGTTACCCATGGAGTCATCAGCTACTTTCGATGCGACGATATTAACAAAATTTTGTCATTTCAGCTAGAAACCCATTGAAGCGAGGACTTTGCGTTCTTATGCAACAGCAACGTCAGTCAATTCGGTTTCGAATGAAAGGACATTGCAACCTTAATCTATCATATTTAGCAGTGAGTGAATATTAAAGTTCAACTGCTAAAGTTAGCTGCTTGCCCGCTGCATGATACAAGAAAGTTATTGTGCCGCTTGTGGTACCAGCGCGAAAATTGCTTTTGTGAATTTTCTTTGTTTTGGAAACCGCTAGCGTGTTTACCATACACAGAACCGAAGATCAAAAGTTATTTTCAGTGTTTTTCCGTGAAGAAGGCGGTTTATTTATCTAGTAAAGTTTCTAGGCAGAATTAAAAAAGATATTATTCTTAAGCTTAAAGTGCTGATTGTATTCAGCAGTTTCCCGTGTGCTCTGAAGCCTGTTTAATTAAGCATCGCAAGGAGGTTTTCCGCGTTCTATCCGACTCTGAATTATCAAAGGACTGCTTTTGTAGAAATCGCCGAATGAAGCAATCACAAGTGCATTAAGTCATGTATCACCTTTACTGCACCGGTCTGTATCAGTATTTATTTACCATCTGTGATGCATACGACTCAATATTTACCATTCTACACTACCTGTTATTCACTATACCGCTCAAAGCGTTCAAATTTCACTCTCCAAAATTGCCATTTTTTTCCACGACCGAACCGAAACATTTGTTTCCAACGCTGAAATATATAACACCCTCTTGCCGGAAAATTTCCGAGGAAGCCCTTCGTTGTAATCCGTTATAATCAATTAGCGAACAAGAGTAAACTGCACTCCGCTTATGAAAAGCCCTTTGATACCTAAACAAACCTATTATTCTAAACTATAGTACACTAAAAATGAGGGACTGGTTTCACTAGAAAATAAGTCTAACTGCACCTGTAAGTAATAAGCTTGTGCCACTGTAGATGAGCGAAACCTCAGTCTTTACAACGCCAAGGCAAACCAGCGGAACTCTGCCAGATCTTCTCACACTCCAGTTCAGTTCCCGTTCGTCCGTCGTTTGGGAAATAAAAAGACCCTCTAACTAACAGCCACTTTATGGTTTTGAAATATGGGATGCGATAAATCCGAGAGCAAGAAATCTCTATCGTGTTTTCACCGTTCACACGACGATGCACTTTACAAGTTATGGAACCTCAAACCGGCCTACGCTGAGTAAATTTACATACTGCATCAGTTGCAGATGAATTCACAACAAACTTCAAACATAATTCACTCTGGAGGCCATTCTTGACAACCACATGAATAATTGTATTGAATCCTTTAAAAATTCAATAGCAAATAAAAGTTAACTGATGAACACTTTTGAAAGTCATGGAATCACATCACGTGAAAGGACAAATGTTTCATAGACTTGGACATACATCTTCTGAAGATTCTGGCGATAAATTATTTTATCAAGAAAGTTCTTTGAATAATGTATCATTCCTTCAGGGCTTAATCAGCTAAACACTAAAATTGGACTGCCCCAGTGTCTGACCACGAATTTATTTCAACATCAAACAAGTACAACTGAAAATATGTTTACAAAGACTATTAATTGGCGCGGCGATTTCAAACTATTATGGAGTAGGATTTCGTCTGTTTACAATTCATAGAGCCGGTTGCAGGTAAACACTTGATGTCACCGTGAATCCTGCCTGCGGGAACAATTATAGTTAATTTTAGCAAGGTTCCCATGATAACGTTTTAAGTATGCAAAGCACCTGATAGTTTTGTTTTAGATGCAAAATCCTGTTATTGCAGATTGGGCGGGCACTGAGAGCGGGCACTCGATCGATAACCAAACAATTAAAAAATATATTATCGTCTGAAAAATAAAAAGATAAATATTGCTATCGTTCATTTAAATCGATCGGGAGGTTGCTTCCTCGAGGAACTGTTGAGCTACTTCGGCAGATGACACAAACAACAGCCTTGGTAATCATTGCTGACGAGAATGTACAACCATGGCCCAACTGAAGACACTGGTTACTCAATTGGAAATTCTTGCTTCGTGTTAAGCCACTGCACTATAGCATCTCAACTCGCCACTGAGTTTGAAGACAGACACATTTTACAGTGATTACATGAAGGTGCACGTGTGTACGGTTCCCCAAAGAATAATTCGACTTGTATCCCCTCTTAGGAAAATATTTTCATAGAACGCCTGGAAAAAAAGAAAAAAAAAAAAAGACAAAGAAAAATAAACAATTACAGCTATGTACAGGCGTAAAGTTGAGAACGACATTATGTTATTAAACAAGATTAGGAATAGCTTTCATTAGCCAATTTATCAAAAGGAAAATTTTCGTAACCAGATTTCATACATTTTGCATAAAACCCCTTAAAACGAATGTGGCCTTAAGTAGAGAAATTGTTTTTCCCCAGATGATCAAATCTTTCACAGCCACTGTGAAAAAATGTAATTCAGTGATTTAAAAAAAAAAAAAACTTTCTTTCATGGCGTAGCAAGCTCTCTTACTGCAAAGTTTTCGACATTTCCTGGCGTCAAACGGTTGGGAAGAATTCACGCAAAACAAGTCCCGGACGAAATTCTTCAATCACAAAATAGAGGAAAACCCGCGAGTTGTTAGTGACGTCATCAGGATGCAGCGAGTTGCTACGCAATTATACAAGGTCTTTGTCACCTGGTTCTAAGCCCCTTCGCTACCGCCGTTTGCGATGTCACGTTG